CAGGATCCTTTACTATATAATAAAATAACTGTTATTAAGCACTTTTAAATCGTATTTCTTTGGAATATGGCAGTAATGATTCACACTGAAGACTGGTCAAGATATTTAAAAAGGAAAAATTAGCATATGTACAATTCTGTTAACCTCTCCAAAATATCCAGAACAATGATTGTACCGTGAGAGGCATATTTTGATAATATCGTACAGTGAGATTTGGATATCATTACATGCCTACTCATTTGCCGACTTGAGCATCTTGAAATGATGAAAAATGATGCCATGAAAGCGCTAAACAAAATCGCTGTATTATTATAGATATTAAAGGTCCTATATAATGCAAAAATGACTCTTGTGAGCTTTAAGCCTCCTCAGAAACATACATGGAGTTGTGCTTTGTTTCCTTCACATGTTTGAGTAACCTGTTATTATTAGTCTGTCTACATCTCCAAAGCTCAAAACGCTCTGATCCACCTTGTGATGTCATGTAGAGGTAGATTTTAAGTTAACAGCTACTTTTTATTGTTAGTTCTGCAGAGATGAGCAATTCCAGGACTGAAATTATCCAAATGATTCTAGTGAAGGTGCATGGAGTTTAAAAACACTTCCTGTATTACCACGTCTCAAGGTGGAACAGGGTGTTTTCAGTTGGAGAGAAGAACTAAGCCTAAATAGAGCCTAAATATGCATGATTTGTGTGTTAAACATGAATGAAACAAAACACAACCCCAGCGATGTTTGCGACGAGGAAACAACCTTCTAACACAGATCAGAACATGGCGTAACGTGGGCTCCTTTAACTACACAAATAAATACATGCAGGACCAAAGCACAAAGCCCCACACGCCCTGCTCCCCTGTTGTTTTCATACCACTGGGCTGTTGAGTGATTGAGTGATGGTGGGCAGCAGGAGCAGCAGCAGTAGTGGAGCCTGGTCATAGTAAATCACATTGTTTTTTTATGGGAGCCACAGTAAGAACATGAGGACAGGAGGAGAGCTGCAGAGTTTAGCCTTTATGTGTAGGCAGTTAAAGGCGCCATTAAACCTTCACTACAACGGCTTCTCATCATCGCGGACGTGTTTCTGTATGGGTGAGGGGTATTGGCAAAACTAATAGATGCATACACTGCAAAAAGGATTACATTAGAATACGTAAAGGGCCCGTATGACGCCATTTTCTGATCTGTGTTATAATGCAGTTTTCTTGTTGTAAACATACCTGGAGTTGTGTTTTGTTTCATTCACACATGTTTAACACAGTTCTTCTCTCCAACTGAAAACACTCATACACTTCATACACTTTCACTAGAATGATTTGGATGATTTCAGGCCTGTAATTGACAACCTCTACTGAAAAAAAGGTAAAAACAGTATCTGTTAACTTGAAAACTACCTCTACAACTACCATAACATGACATCGCATGGTGGAACAGAGCATTTTGAGCTTTGGAGATGTAGACAGACTAATAATAAAGGATTGCTCAAACGTGTAAATGAAACAAAACACAACTCCAGGTATGGTTTTTAACATGGCTTAAAACGCACGGAAGTCAATTTTGAGCAATAAAGGACCTTTAAATTAGCCAGGCTGGCACCACCTAGTGACTCCACTCAATTTCATTTTTCTTCAGCCACTAGGTCAGGAATGGGAATACACTAGACGGTTTGCAAGAGCCCGGAAGTTGTAGACCGCGCACCGACCAATCAGCGAAGAGCTGTGAAGCGTCTGTCTGGGTCCCTTTTGTGGTACAGCACAACAGTAAACAAAGCGGTCCATATGGATGTAGACGAAGACAGACATTCTGTGTTGGCAACGATTCCCAAGATCGAGGATTTAAAGCTGGAACACTGGATTATTGCCCTTCTTCGTTGGGATTTGGCGCATTACATATGTCACGACCAAATAGTAGTGATTGGTCAAATTAAAAAGTACCCGCCTACTGTCGAATAAACGAATCCTAACGTTGCCAAAACCAGCTGATGAATCAGGCTACCTTTAAATGTCCTGTATCAGATTTGTTCTATCTATTTGAGCAAAACTGCCCCTTGCCCCAGTACAGATATAAATTATACAAGCAGCTCTTGAGGTCAAAATAAGTCTGCTGTGTATTGTCTTCATCTAATTAGGAAGCCTATTACTGTCCGGTGATCAGGAAATGCGCAGTTAGCATGCTAGCTGAGGTTAGTTTTTTCCGGGATGGCAAAACTCCACTCTGGTCTCCGAAAGTTGTGCTTATAAATTCATTGTGGTGAATAATTAGGATGCTCAGAATGCATAAGGTAAGTGAGGAATAACTTTGGACGACTGCAAAATGTTTCAAACTAGTTCTGTTTTTCACGTTTTTAAGACAGTAAAAATCAAATACAGCACCTTAAAATGACTCCATTACCTGCTTGTCACCTTGGAGATGTTAAAGATTTGTGAGGAGCTTTAATGTGTGGCATTAAAGAGATCCATTTCCATGTAGATCAGCATGGTGCAACACCAGAGCTGATGTGTGGAGTAAGAATTTAGATGAATATACCCACCTATAACTGAGTAAATGCATAATAGATATGTTTAATGTCATACACAGTGCATCTTTAACATATGTCATATGTCGTGCATTTTTAAATATTTGTTTCATTGTATAAACAGTCAAATATTTTACTAGAGTTTCTATCCCGTGTTGCAGTGATTTCCCATACGTTTTTTGAGCGATCAGCTTATCTTATGGTGGTGCGCTAGAGCCATCTGCTGGATATATCTGTCATTGCACCTCAAAAAATCCACAACGATGATATTCTTCCAGCGTCTCTATTAAAGTAGTTGAAGATGCATTGTGTAACTTTTCTGGTAAAGGTTTCTGTCAAATGCTTTTCTGTTCCGTTATTGCTTTGTCTTTGCTTTGGTACGGTAATAAAGCTTTCTATCATCATGGAGACCAAACCAGACCAGGTCTGTGGAGAGGCGACCCCGCTCACAGCCAGAATGCCGTTTTTCTAGGTATTTTTGAGCTATAAAACCACCTGTAATTGAATAAATGTAAGGTAAATCTGTTTAATGTCTAATATTGTGAGACATTCAAAGCAGAACATGCATAGAAACAATAAGGTGACGAATCCCCTTAGCGAAAAGTTACATAATGCATCTTTAAAGGCTGCAAATTTGTTGCAGCGTCCTGTCCAACCACCACCATTTACATTTATGAGGATCAGGCATAAAGACTCACCTAAGCAGTATGATTTGTTGACTTCTAATTATCCATTTTCTTTCACTTATCCAGGGCTTAGCGGCAACTCCCAGACTTCCCTCACCCCAGACACTTCCTCCAGCGAAAACCTCTGATATCCTCCAGCTAGGTGCTCCCGTAGTTGTCCCATAGCCCTCGACTGCTGAACTGCTGTTACCCACTGCACCTGACTGGGTCAAATGCGAGGGACAAGTTATGAGCTATAGAATCATACATTTGAGAAAAGACTGTCAAAACCATTGCATTAACCATAGAAACAAGTCAGTGCAATCATAATTTGTTTCTATTTTCACAGCATTTATTTTGGTTTTAATAATCTGACTGCTTTAGTTTGTTAGTAGAATAATTATGGAAAAATAAGACTATACAGCAATAAGACTTCATACAACTGCACAACAACTCCCCCTTATGTAACAAGGACCTTACGACCTCCTGTTTATAGCTGAGATATATTTTTATTACTATATTTCTGTTTTATTTTTACTTGTTCATAAACATTTATATAATTATGCCTTATTTGATGCCAGTCTCTTGCTATTTCTGCTACTTATTTAGAATTTATTATACTATTCAGGTTTCTTTTGTTATTAGAGTATGTTGTGAGCTACTGTGTCCAAATAATTTCCCTTGTGGATCAGTAAAGTTTGTCTAAGTCTAAGACCAGAAATACCTGATTTATAAATTGAAAGTAATGTATATCAAATTAGAAGGACAAAGAATAACTGTATTCTCAAAGAATAGAGCTAAAAAATAAGCACTAAAATCACATCTAAAGAAGCGACGCAAGAAACACAAATGTTCAAATCATTTCATATTGTAAACATTAAGCTTTGGTCTCTTGTAGATTAACTCACAAGATTGAACTGGGACACACCAGGGTTGGGATGGTTGATATAAATAAAATTGTGAAAAGAGTGAGTTACATTGTCCATTTTCAACTCAATTTACCTGAGGGATTTCTCTTGATGTATTTTTTTGCCTTATGGTCAAGCATGAATTTTCTGTATTTTAGCTAAACAAATATGAAATATATAAACATAAAATCCCCCTCTTTATTGTTGGTGGATATCAAATTGGTCAAAAACAAATACACCCGGGACATTTCTTGGATAAAATTGGGGCAAATCACTGGTTTTGAAGAAATCTGCTGGGACTGGACACAGGGTAAACATTGGGATTGTCCCGCTTAAATGGGGACGTCTGGTCACCCTACTCAAGTACTTCTGTTACAATTGTACAATATATTACTTAAGTGGGAATAAAACTATGTGGGCTGAGCACATTTTTATGAAAAAGTTACTCAAAATGTACCTGAATACTACCCACCTTTGCATCCTTTTTTTTAAATTATTATTTCAAATATACAATGTAATATACAATGGTATAAACAAAAACATTGCTGGAGGCTTAAGAGTTCATATGCTCACAAGGCTCGATCAGCGTAATTAATAACACACATATGCATCACAGTGTAAATATATAAATGTGCATGTACAAATGTAGAAAAGTAAATAAATACATTCATATTTCAAATTCCATACAAAGTGCTTTTGTTTTCAAGGCTTTGGGATTTGTGCAGTAATTTAGAGAATTTATATAAGAGGACAAAAGGGACTGAAACACGACAAATTTGGGCCCACCTTTGCATCCTTATTTTTTATTTTTTATTTTTTATTTTTTCCCACCTTCGCATCCAACGCATGGATCTATTAAAATAACAACGTCACAAGCTGCAGAAACCCACCGGAAGTGCGTTGCATGCTGGGATATGTAGTTCAAAACGTCTATTCCGGTGTGTCTGCATCTGTCAGAATGGCTCGTTCAATATCCATTCATTTCGCTGTTTTATCTTCTATATATTTCCTTTTTATTGCCAGATTTGTAAATTGCAACAACGGGAGGCGGGTAAGTTTAAATATTTCTCTGTCTCGAGTAATATTAACGTAGGAAACGATAAATAAACAAGTGAATGACCAGTGATGTGTTAGCATGTGTTAGCATTAGCCGCTGACAGCTAACGTAAGTCTCATTTATTTTGCAGATTGGAGACACTTTGGACGCCGAATTAAGTGGGTTTTCGGTTCCACTTGAACATTCATTTGAAGCTGGTAAGAATATTTTATTTGTTGTATTTTTGTCCGAATTCATACCACTATTTTCTCTCGCGATATCAGCAAAAATAAATAGCACTGCCCTTAACCTGCTACATTCAACTAATACTAATATGACATTAATGGGAAAGTCTGTATTAACTGGAGAGTGAATTATATTGCATAAGACCTGCAGAAATTACGAATCAATGATTAAAATTAAGGGGAATTAACTAATCAAAATAAAAAGCAAATATAAAAGTGCACCATTTTACATATTTTAAGTTTTACACATTTTAACTTGTTCTTTTGTTTCAGATGATGTGACAAACTTTCGTGTTCGAGGATCTTTGATTTTAAAACCTGGACGAGAGCAGAGTGTCTCCCTCTCTCAAAGCCAACTCTCAGAGGAGGACAGAATCAGACTCAAGGTGAATATCTGCACTTATATATTGGATAAAAGACAGTTGGTACAATGTTTTGCCTTTTGCTGTGGTGTCCTTGGGCAAGACATTTATCCACCGAATGTATTTGTGTGTGGCAGTCTGTGGGCCTGCAATGGTTAATCAGAATAATCATAACTAAATAACAGTTAAACTGAATCATTGACTATTTTTTTCACATTTAATTGTCAGTTGTTATCTGGACTACACAGACTCTAAAGCACATAGCCAAAAGTATTGTTATAACCAAATTATGAGATCAAAATGGTAAAACAAATAAACAATTTGAGTTGTATTATTGAGTAATATTATTCTCTCTATCTGCTTCAAAGCTTGTTTAAAAATGTCAACATACAGTAAATATATATTTTTTAAAAATACATATAATAAATATGATCCTTGTATTTTTTCTTTTATTCTGTAATAAAAGCACACCGAGTTGCTGTTTTGTATGAAATGTGCTCAATGTAAAATGCCTTGTAACTAACATGTTGTTTTCCCTCTTCTCCAGGAGGTGGCAGCAGTGGACGGCCTGTATAAGATCAGAGTGCCTCGAGTTTCACTTCAGCCCGACAGAACAGAGAGGCAGATGGACGGATACCTCACAGCCTTCGTCAGAGCTGTAAGAGTCTCCATCATTGTTTTTATTCAAGGATGTTAAACGAGGTTTAAAAGTGCATCATGTAACTTTTTGGGTGAAGGGTCTGTCAGAAACTTTTATCCATGAAGTAACTGCTTTGTCTGGAATGTTCCACAGTACGGCATTAAACCTTTCTATACTCATGGAGACCAAACCAGATCTGTGGAGAGGCAACCAGTCAGAATGTCTGTTTTTCTAGGTATTTTTGAGCTATAAAACCACCTGTAATTTAATAAAGTTGTTTAAAGTCATAATGTCTACTGACTACATTCCAGGCAGAGCAATGACATTTGGTTTCCCCTATCAACCCAAAACATGCAGCCGGTTAAATCCTCTAGCTAAGGCAGTCCTGACCAATCCTAGCAACAAGATCATAGAGATAGGTCCCCAGGCGCCCCATGTGCTGCCCACTGCTCCTGAAAGGATGAGTGAAATGCAGAGGAGAATTTCCCTACAGGGATAATAAAAAGTACTACTACTACTACAAAAAAAGGTGATGCACCCCCAACCAAAAGTGACATATTTAATAGTTTTCATTTCCATTATCTTGCACATCACACAGTACAACAACTTTCTAGAATTGTGTATACATAATACATTATAATTTTGGGTGGACTTGATAAAAAAAAATAAAAAATCTTTGTAATTGATGAATCTCAATTAATCACATATCAAGATTTGCCCCAAAAGCAAAATGTATTTTATGTAAATGAATTTTAGTGGATGACTTCAAATAATAAACACAGACATGACTTTTAAACTCAGGCTCTTTTAATGTCTGGAAAAGTTTCTCAGAAAAATGTCTTGGAAAAAATAAATTGCATTTCATTTCAAAATAGTAGACAAAGGTAAGGTCTCTATTAAAAATTGAAGAGACTAAAGTTAAAGTGCCATTTTACTTTAAGATGTTACCTTCTGAACGTTGTGTACATCTTGACTTCTTGACCTAGAGCAAATGGTTAAAAATATAAGTGAATTTGTTAGTGTTTCCGGTGTCGACTCATTTTCTTCCTGAAGCCCGTCATTTTTTTGGGTTTGGGCTGCTCACACCTCTTGTTTGTACTTGTACCGGAACTGCTCCAGCCAACAGCTCCAGCAGTTTCTTGTTCTGTCACATGTTTTGCATTTAAATTGTATCGTAGGGTTAAGGTGCTTCTGTGATATGCAAACTCTTTTCTGCACAATTTGCAATAAACGACGTCTTTGTTAATATTTCCATCAGTAGTTTTTTGAATAGAAATTGACCATTCAGCAGACCCAGAGCGCTTTCATGCTCCATTGTTGTTGTAGCCGGAACTGTGTGCATCAATATAACTGGCGTACCACGACATGGTGCACTGACAAACATTCTGTTTTGTTTTGCATGCACGTTAATGTTTTTAATGCATTATTTTCTTTGTAATTAAACGTAATTAATCATAATTAACGCATTAATGTCACACCACCATATTATAATGTTATGTACTCTTTACTGGGTAACATTCTTTGACAGTCTTTCTTGATTTGACCTTTTTAAGTAAAACTAATTCCTATGTGTGGTTGAAAAAGGTTACAGATGACGACTACTACCTGTTGTAGTTATGTACTATGGAACTATTTTGGTGGAGGATTTAGCACCTGCTTGTCTCCATGGTGATGTCATTGCTGTCTACATTATTCCATAGCATGACATTAAACCTGCGTATCTTTGATTCGTTCTCGCAGGTGTTTTAATTCCAAAATGCATTCTTACTGTTAATGGGGTCACCTCTCCACAGATCTGACCTGTAAATTTGCCTGGTGAGGTCCCTGCTTGTCTCCATGCAAGTTGATAAGTTTAATGCCATACTGTGGAACATTTCAGCCAAAGCATTAATATCTCCATGGTGACAAGCAGATGACAGGCACTCAGAAAAGTGACAACGTGCACCTTTAACTTCCTTGTGTGATTATGGGGCCACACAGACATACTCATTTTCAAGTGTCTTTTAAAAATCTAGTCCTGACATTTCTACTTTTACTGTTACTGAAATGTCAGACTCATTACTCAAACCCTCTCCTCTCCTTTTGTCCAGTGTGCGATGGTAGAGTCCCACCTGAGCGACGTCCTGACGCTGCACACGGATGTATCGGGCGTCCTGATTGGAGTTTCCATAGTGACGGTCCCTGGCGCCTGCAGAGGGACAGAGGTGGAGGATGAGGTCGACCTGGAGGTTTTCAACACCACCCTGACCGTCATGGCCCCCACCAGTGCCCCCGGGTCAGTCAGGTTCATGGGTCTGTCCGTATTGTAGGGCTGAACGTTTGGGATAACTGAGTGCGTTTACATGCACGCGAGTATCTTGTTTATGAGCCTTATTTGGTGTTTACATGCTCTTAGAAAAACCAGGACACTCATATTCCTGTGTACATGCACCATTATCCTGGATATTTAAAGCGGTTGCTGTGGTAACTATGGCACAGATATGGCAAGGAGCTAAACATGTAGCAACTTTGCTATCTTAAGGCTTTTTACAGGTTTTTAACGACAAAAATGAAGACATACTTTCAAGAAAGAACTTTAGTCACTTTAGTTCACACATACTCAGTGCAGCACCAGTTTTGAGAAATCAGGATATTGCGTCTACAAGCCACAGTATCCTGGATACTATCAGAAAAACCCTGTGAGAGTGTTCTGGTTTCTTATAACTGGGATACTGGCATATCCAGGATACTGTGTCTACATGGACACTCACATAACCAGGCTACTCAAAAAACCTGATCATAACCGGGATACTCCAGTGCATGTATACACACTCTCTGTCTCATAATATATAGTTAGCAGTGACATCGCACTGGGGGCACATGTATGCGGCTCTACGAAGGAAAAACGTAGTAACTGTGCTTATAGTTCAAATGAGCTGTAAGGTTTAGATGTCATTCCTCTTGTTTATGTCAGAGGTCCATTAGTGAGAGTGTTTGTATGTGTTACTGTGTGATGAGGTAATAGTTATCAATCACAGCCATCACCACTGAGTTCACCTTTGACCTCTGAATGTACAGTTAAAAACAGAAAATGAGGTGGTCTCAGAAAACATATTCAAAAACTATTTTATTTCAACCTTGTTACGCTTGGGGGGAACTGGGTAAATCCTCTTGAGTGCCTTTTTTCAATCCAGCTCAATGTCTCTGTAAACAAACACACCACGTGTTAAAAGTACAGTTTATTATGGACAAAATTAAGATCTAACTTAAAATCACAAAGTTAACAGCCATGTTCCATGTATTCGAGGAAATTTTGTATTCTCCCAGTACAAACAGATCTTGATGTAAAAATAAGTCTGCTCCGTTCTGTCTGCATCTAATTATAAATCTAACAAAAGACATAGTCCATTGTCCTAAATATTTGATGATTTGAATATTTGGGAACAGGATTATAACATGGTAGATAGTTCCAAAAAGTCGAATCAGCATAATACAGCCGCTTAAAAAAGAAAATTCAAACTTACTCAGAATTTCGTGGCTCTGGCTTTACATACTGACGATACCCTCCTCAGACCAAATACACAAATTGGCAAATTGTCTTTGAAGCTCATCAGCTCTGTTTGAATGGATTGGAAATTTATATACATCAATAAATTCATAGTTAAAAATGAAACTCAAACTTACTCAGTAGAATCTGACGTATCTGACGAACTCTTTGGGCTCTCATCAGAACAGCTAAAGGAAGAGTCATCATCCCTAAACGAGCAGATTAGAAAGTTAAAGGCGCACTGTGTAACTTCTAAGGTTGCTTGTGTCCATGGAGATATTATTTCTTTGCCTGGAATGTCCCACAGTAGGGCATTAAACATATCTCCCTTCCATTTGTTCAGTCACAGGTGTTTTATAGCTCAAAAATACATTAAAATACATAAATTCTTACCATATGCAAGCTTGCTTCTCCATAGATCTGACTATTAACCTATCTCTATTGTGATTACCAAGTTTATTTCCATACTGCGGAATAATCAAGGCAAAACAGTAACATCTCCACACCTTTTAAATTAAATACGTTTTTAAAAATTCAAACTTACTTGGTATTGGAGGAATCTGGCGTTCTTTCGACACTGCCTGAAGATCTTGGAGGATTCCTTGGCCTCTCATGAGAACAGCTGAATAAATCTTCAGCTCTAACCCTGTGAAGAGATGAGAAAGTTAAAAAAAATGTTAGAAATGCCAATATGTTGATCGTTAAAAAGAAAATTCAAACTCACTCGTTATCGGAGGAATTTGGCGTTTCTTCCTCTATCTGAAGGACTTGGAGAATCATCAGACCAACTAAGAGAGGAGGACAGAAATAAAGAAACAAAACTTAAGGTCAAAGGGGTGTTGTGTAACTGTTATGTCATTGCTCTGCTTTGAATGTTCCACCATATGGCATTACATAGCTTTATCTTAAGTTTATTCAATTACAGATGGTTTAATAGCTCAAAACCACCTGGAAAAACAGACATTCTGACTGTGAGCGGGGTCGCCTGTCCACAGATCTGACCTGTAACTTGATCTGGTTTGGTCTCAATGAAGATGGAAAGGTTTAATGCCATACTGTGAAACATTCCATTCAAAGCCCTAACATCTCCATGGAGAAAAGGATTTGACAGGCCTTCCACCAGAAAATTTACACAATGCAGCTTTTAAAGTGCATATGACATGAGTGTTTGTTTTTTCTATTTATGATATGGTTTGGTTAGTACCCATGGTAGATATTTAGCATAGTTTTACATCAGTTTGTTGAGAAAGATGTGAAGAAAAGTACAAAAATACAGGAAATAGCAATGATTTCTAAAAAGGAAAAATCAAACAAACATGCAGGGAACATTTATGCACAAGAAATATTTTTTTGGCAGTTTAACCACAATAAAGTTGTTGTAATTTGTTTTCATTAGTCTATTCATACTTTTGTGTAATTTAGACATGGTTTGACTCTTGTTTACATTATGGTTGCTTGGTAACAGTTCTGGAGTTCCCTCTACATTATGTCACATCTGAAGCCTCTGTCCAACCAACAAGTGAAATTATAAACTTAACCAAAATTTTACTATTGGACAAGATTTTTAGTAAAATCTTATTACACTATTTTCTGATCTACGTTATAATGTTGTTTCCTCACAAACAGACCTGGAGTTGCGATTGTTTTTATTTTTTCATTCACACATTTTAACACACAAATCCTGCATATTTAGTTCTTCTCTCAAACCAAAAATACTATGTTCCACCTTGTGATGTCATGAGGCAATACAGTCAGGAAGAGCTTCATACATCTTCACTAGAATCATTTGGATGATTTCAGCCCTGGAATTGCCAATCTCTACTGAACAAAAGGTAAAATGTAGCTGTTAATTTAAGAACTACCACTATATGACATCACAAAATGGAACTGAGGATTTTGAGTTTTGGACTTGTAGAAAAGTAATAATAAAGGATTACTCAAACATGTGTGAATGAAACAAAACATGACTGCAGGTATGTTTTGGAAGAGGTAATAACTTTATAACACGACAAAAAGCTCACAAGAGTCAATTTTATGTAACATAGGACTTTTTAAAATCAATTATTTTACTCGGTGTTAGTGAAATGAGTACTCTAACCTGTCATATGCAGTTAAAAAAAAACTGAATAAACAATATATTTTATGAAACCACTAAACCACTCACGGTTTAAGTAAATGTCTTGTTGAGGACATGTATGTTAGCTCCTTAAACCGGCCTCCAGCTGAAGACTTCGAGTCTGGCTGCTGCTCAAAAATTCAAAATGAAAAATGAAGTCATATTAGTATTTCAAAATAAGTAGATAAGCTGATTTTGTTTATTAGTTTAGAGTTCTTGTTTTTCTAAGGGGTGGCAACTTGGCAAGATGTATTTTCATATTTTAACCACATAAAATCTTCCATGGGTAGATAATTTTACTTGTTAAGTGAAATTTACTCAGATCATGCAAAAACTTTCTCAATTCAGGTAATTTTAAAGGTGCACTATAACTAACTGTAACTGGCCTGGTGGAGGGTCAGTCACCTGCCTAGAATGTTCCGCAGTATGGCCATAAACTTGTGAACCTCAATAGAGACCTGCAAGCCAAATTACAGGATAGATCTGTGGAGGGGCGACCCACTGACAGAGAGAGAATGGATGAATTTTGAGATATTTTTGAGTAATAAATAACACTTTTAGTTGTATGAACGCAAGACAGGTTGGTTTAAATTGTCCAGAGTATGGTATTCATCTAAAGTATTAACATCTCTATGGAAACGGACCCCCTCGAGAAATGTTACACAGTGTACCTTTAGTTTTTGCCGTGTATGAGGGAGCATTGGCCCTATGAACAGAGGTTAGTACTTTACTCATTGATTCAGCAGAAATAGGTCATGTATTTCAGTCCTCAGGATCCCAGGCAACTCCTATTCCAACAAGTATTATACTAAAATACAATGAGGAAAAACACTGAATTTAAAAGTGAATGTCATTGTCCAAAAAAACAACAACACACAAAGCTGGCGTTTAACCTGATCTCTTGTTGCATTCAGGCAACTGGTAATTGTTGTGGAATTTTGCATCTCCTGCATAGTCTTTGCAAGGACACCTCCAGTTCATTGTTGACATTTCTCCATGGTTTGCTCTGGTGTCATCCAAATTCAACTGTTAAAGAATTTGTCCTTATTTAATCTTATCAGTTTCTTTCATTGACTCATCTCAAAAGCAGCGTGCTATGCTTTTTTCATTTTATCTCTGTCAGCTTGTCTCCACGCTGTCCTTCTTTGCTTCCATACAAGGAGGTTTAAATCGGAGCTGAGTCAGGCTTGAAAATATGAGTTCAAGGCTAAGTTTATATGATGACGGTCTGAACAGAAGATGCAAAAGTGGCGTCAGGTCTTCACTTTTTATTTCGCGTTTAGAGGAAATCTGCGTGCATACGGTGACGCAAAAGTGTAATTGTGGAATTCGATTGGGTATGCATGCCAGGTGGCTAGGTACAGTTGCATGTGATGTAAACGCGTAGGTGACGTGAGCAGATCTGACCAGAGTTTTGCGTCTTGGGCAGTGTAGACGGAAACGCTACGGCGGAGAGTATTCAACTGTTCCACTCTGGAGGGTGGTTTCAGATTTTTGCGTTTTTAAGCTCCAAAAACGCCATCACCGTCTAAACTAAAGGCACTTCTGATCAAATATTTTGTTGTTTTTACCTGCAAGCCTTCTCGTGTAAACAGGCTCTGTAAGCGGGGTCGCCTCTCCACAGATCTGACCTGTAACTTAGTCTGGTTTGGTCTCCATGAAGATAGAAAGATTTAATGCCACACTGAAACATTCCAGACAAAGCAATACACATCTCCATGAAGAAAAGTTTAGTGCGTTGGACAGGATTTGACGATTCTCAAATTTTGACTTAATTTGGTATTCTAATACGTAATTTATAGTTTTACACCAAGCAAGAAGCAGTTCGTGAAGAAAACTTGAAAAACCTGTTGAAAATTACAGGATGTTTACACACAACACACAATTTTTTCTGATAATATTTGTAGTGGAAACAGCGGCGGAGCGTATTCAACTTTTCCACTCTGGACGCTGGTTTCAGATTTTTGCGTATTTAAGCCCCAAAACGCCGTCACCGTCTAAACAAAAGGCACTTCCAATAAAATATTTTGTCGTTTTTACCCTCATGCGTTCTCGTGTTAACAGGTCCCAAGTTCAAGTTCACAAGGTACTGAATTAATGGTAAAAACTTCTCCTGACTCTCTGTGCAACTTTAGGATTCTTTAGGACAACACTTATTTTCCCTAACAGCAACTGAGATATTTTCCACCTCCAGCTGAAGTTAACTAAATGCCCTGGAACTCCACTCGAACTGGTGATTCTCACTGGTGAGCTGAGCAGTACGGGGATTCCCCTTTCAGAGACAAGTTCAGCTGTGGCTTATTAGAAAACTGTTAATCACCAGAGAAAGTGAATCTGGGGGATAACCACAACATAAACCAAGAAAACAGATGATGCAGGTTAAATCCAACAGTGTTTTGTAATTTAATTAGTTACAGATTTTTTTTTTTACATTTATTTGTTTAGCCTTTCTTTGGTTGAGCATGAACCATGGTATTTGTATGAGTTCATTCACTTGGAACATTCTGAGGCCAGAGCTCATAATTTTCAACAGAGAAATATCTGATCTCCCAAAGTCTGGAACACAGCATAAGGGTGTGTAACGCTAACAGTGGTTCAGCCCTTAATACTGATTTAAAATGTCTTCTGCCCTGTCAGCTCGGGTTATTTATGAATGTCTGGAGACCCCAAGAGACAAATCACCCCTCCTCTCCTGAAGGAAAACCCAAATCAGACCATCATTTTAACAGTTATAGTTAATTCACTGTTGTTGCTGATGTTGTTGTGGCCTCCATTTTGTCTTGTCTCTGTTTTCTTCAAGATCAAAGTCAGATTATTTACTTTATTTACTGCAAATTCTCCCAAACAATATTCGAAAACAAACTAAATCAAGTTTTCAGAATGGACCACATTTGAACCACAACACTGAGCCACATTCCACTTCAGAGCTCATGGAAAGATCATTCGGTGACCTCTGCTCTTTTCCAGTGGTTTGTTGTATTTTCCAAGTTGTAAACTTGAACTGGAAACATCCGTCTCGGAATTCCTCCTTGGAAACTTGGGCAATATTTCATAACCTAAAGCTGGTTCAGAGTTAGAAAATCCAACAGGGCTGTTTCCTATGTGTATTGCCAAAGATATCAGAGTTAAAATATTAAAGTTGCTCCTGTCCACTCGCTTAAGCCTGTTCCTGCTCAGCTTTTTCTTTTTGATTATTATTCATTGCAGATATACATACATACAAATTATTTTAAACACACATACCAGCAAATTTCAAAATTGTTATCACAGTCTGAGCATCTGCAGTTACAGCTGATAACAACAAAAGCAAAAATTCACTCGCAAACATTGATTCATAACAACGATGTCTGTGTTAATACATGAACTTGACACTTTTTTAATACAGATTTATATCAGCTGTGGTGGAAGGTAACGAAAGTACAAAAGTAAAAGTACAAAACTTAAGAAGAATTTTTGAGGTATCTGTACTTTACTTAAAGGTGCAACTTTTCTAGTGGAGGGTCGTCAAAAACTTTTCTCCATGGAGATGTTATTGCTTTGTCTGGAATGTTTCACAGTACAGATTAAACCTTTCTGTCATCATGGAGACCAAACCAGACCAAGTTACGCCACTGTGGAGAGGTGACCCCGCTCAAAGTCAGAATGCCTGTTTTTCGAGGTATTTTTTGATCTATAAACCCATCAGTAATTGAATAAATGTAAGTGTAGAGCTGTTTAATGTCATTGTGGAACATTCCAGGCAGAGCAATGACATATCCACAGAAACAATAAGGTGATGGACCCCAACCAAAAAGTTACATAGTGTACCTTTAAGCAAACTTTACAGTGGATACTTTTTACTTTTACTTCACTACTTTCAACTTCACTACTAGTACTTGAGAACTGCTGAAATGGCTGAGACTTATTTTTTAGCACATTTCTTTTAGCACATTTGAGTTCACGTCCCAACTTTGAACAAACCAAACACAAAAACAGAAATCATTTGAATCACTTAAGTTCAGCTGAATTCTTTATCAGAATCACTACATTTGATGCTTTCATTGTTCTAAAACTCTCTGCAAAATACTTCAACCTTTACTTAAAATACATTCTTAAACAGGTACTTCAATAGTTTTACTTAAGTCAATTTTTCATGTGATACTTTAACTTTTACTTGAGTAATCTTTTGACCCTGTATCTGTACTTTTTCCTTATAAATCTGCCATGGTTTTCAGGTCCCTGTGATTTTTTTTTTTTTTTTTAAACTTTATTGTTTCTGATACTGACCGACCACGTGTGTCCTTAATCCACCTGTCAGTCACTCTGAAAACGGTGCCCCTCACACTCTCAATGCTTTACAAAGTATTGTGAGTGTGTACTCTGGATCCGAGGCAACACTTGCCCTCGTTTTTATGGCTGAGGATGAATGGAACACAAAACTCAATTCGTAAAAGAGAATAAATAATAATGAATAAGGTGAATGGCTGCTCTTTTAATGGACAGCACTAATTTTAACCAAACTTTCATTTTTTTTGTACAGGCCCGAAACTGCACTCTTCCTGGAACGTTTGGAGCAAGAAACGGAGAAGAAAGGCAAGAATCCTCAGGAGCAGAAATCCTTCTTTGCAAAATATGTGAGTAACCATATTTTATTTATTTATTTTTTGCATTATTCATTTATTGAGCTCCTAAAAATGAATGAAGCCATCTCTAAACCTCAGTCGTTGTGCTGTTTGTCTCTTTGCTTGTTTTGTTCTGTCCTGTGCTGTGCAATGGAGTCCAGTACAGCTTTATTACTGTCAAAATTGCAATTTTTATTTGTAAAGATGCACTATGTAACTTTTCTGCTGGAGGCCCGCCACCCACTTGTCTCCTTGGAGATGTTATTGCGTTGCCTGGAATTTTCCACTCTATGGCACTTTCACTTGTCTGTCTCCATGGACACAAGCAGGTGATGCTTCCAGGCCAAGTGAGCTTTTTATTTTTGATATGTTAAAGTTTTCAGTTTCATTTTATTTAGCAGACAAATAAAATGACTTTGAAGATATATTTCCTGAAGACAAACAATACTCACTTTAAACCACAGCCATTTTATTTTTATTTATTTTTTATTTTACCTTTTATTTAACCAGTAGGTCCCATTGAGATTTAGAGACTGGACAAGGAGCAGCAACATAATCAAATAATAATCAAACAGTTAAATCACACAATATCACAGTATAAAACCATTTGAATCTCAAGAAAAACACACACACACATCTCAAAAAATTCTAAAAAAAAAAAAAAAAAAGTTCAAAGTCTGCTCCAAACTGTTTGCTTTTACTGCCAGAGAACAGGATTCTCCACATATCTCTCTATTAAAAAGCTGATCATCAATGATTAGAAATGAAACAATCTCTGTCACAGTACCAGTTTCCCATAATCCTCCAGGTCTAAGCATATACAGCTGTATCCACTTTATTCCACTTTGCCCACTTTTGTCTTTAAATGCTCCTAAACTCCTAAACTTGTGGGGGCACTTCTGGTTAAACGGGAATCCCATTCATGTCAGTGGAGATTTTGGGAAAAGTTTTGCATCTTATATATGACATAAAGTCGGTTCATTTATGTAAAATGTTCAGTTTTCATGTGCACAAACAAGTCACACTGCACCTATTCCCTGGAGGCTTTAAAACACCTTTATCGTCCCTATTGAACTTATGTGCTGTAAAGATCAGCAGCTCCGTACAAAATAATATAACCTGAATAATAAAACTTCCGGAATAAGGTGACTAGTATAACTGTGAATGCCTTTGAGCCTGCCTGCTGTGCTGCCTTCATGGACCTGTCTGACTTTCGTGTGGTGAGTTCACTGCCCTAACTGCTCTGTGCTGTGTTCCAGTGGTATTTGATTCTGGGAGGCGCCATCTTCCTCATGCTTACCAATTCGGCCCAGCCCCCACCAGGGGGCGCCAGAGAGCAGAGCTGATCCCACTGAAGTACAGTCTCTTATGTGGCCTCATCTGTCCTGCTTCTGTTCTGCTTTAAACTTTATAGTCACAGATTAATAATCATTTAACAGTTACTTAAAGGTTCACCGTGTAATGTCAGGTGAGGGGTGTGCTAATTCCTTGTCTCCATGGAGATGTTATTGCTTCCCTGAAATGTTCCACAGCAAAAATACACATTACAGGTGAGCAATAATGGACACAAGCAGGTGTTTGACCCTCCACCAAAAAGTTACATAGTGCACCTTTTAAAGTAGTCCAGCCTACTTAAATTAAGATTAATACATTAATAAAAATGTGTTTAGTTGATTTGAACTAACCATAATGAACATGGCTAAATTATCTAAAATGTGTTTTTCAAATGCTTCAACAAAACAATGACCCTCTCCATTTGTTTTGCCACTAATGAGAACTCCATTCACATTTCTGTTTCTATATTCACAGTTCTTTTTCTTAAACTTTTCAGACTCAAATGGTTCTTGTAAAAGGAAAATGAGACATGTATTTCCTCATCCGTTCAGGGGTGATTCAGTGCAGAGCTGTGGTCATGGACACTGGGTGGTTCTGGTCTCTTCCTTCCAATCCAAGGTCCTGCCCAAACAGATGGGGAATGGAACAGGCTTGATAAATGTATCCGAAAAATGACTCCCACCACCACAACACGACAACTGTACAGTGCCCCACATAGTTTGAAATACATATAATTTTTTTTACATCTGTTGATTTTTAGCTCTAACACAAGTATATTTTTAGTGGATGTACTACTTTTTCTGCCTTATAGCTCTATGCCGCAAAGTTCTTGTTCTCCATCTTTTTCTTTTTTTGCCAATGCATAAAGTCAGAGAAGGATACACTTGTATTCTTGGTCCAATGCTGAAATGCTAACTCTGCAGAAGACAGGTGCTTGTGGAGGACACATGCATGAGAACGGGACTTGGTAACACATCTAGAATAGATCAAGGCAAACGTTGTGGCTCCCATCCAGAAACTTTTTTCATTTTGACAATGGCGGCTTAAGGCGGCTTTACCCTAGTCTGAGTTCACCGAGCCCAGCCCGAAGAGCTTTCGAGTGAAACTGCCTTGCCCCTGTTTTTTAGCTGTCGTCCTTATGGGTTTTTTACTGTTGTGTATGAGTCTCACCTTCAGCTTCAAGCCAGTTCCACCAAAGGAAAAAAAAAAATGATTGCAAAAGCAGTGTCCAGATGACCACAGCTGAAGTCTTCTTACAGTAAAAAGAAAATACCAAAAGCCCTAAATGTTCTCATATCATAAGATTTGAAGTCATATTTTGGGTATGGTGTATTGGGTTAAGCGTTGAATGAAACTTCACTCTCATTATCTACTCCAGCCAGAGTATGGAAGGAAGGGCATCTGCTTTACAAATTCTGCCAAATTCACTCTAATATCGCTTTTGAGCCTGAAAGTTTTTCTTCACTTTCTTGGTTTCAGAAAACTAATCAGGGATGACCAATGACCACTAATCTATATAATAAACAAAGTCAAATCGTTGTCTAAATTGGATTTTTCGTAAACCCTTTGTGTTTCTGTTTGCAGTGGATGTACATCGTGCCGCTCGTTCTCTTCCTGATGATGTCAGGAGCTCAGGACCAATCAGGAGGCGGCGCTGGAGGCGGAGCAGCCAATGGGGGAGGCCGATAAGCTCAGAACTGTTGACACACTGCAAGAATGGAAGAAGGGGAAATCTATGTTTGTGTAAATTACTTGAATTGGGAACGTGATAGGTACTTATTTTGTGGCATTTCTGAACCATTTTCTGTATAGTATGTCCCAGTCTTAAAAGTAGGATATGTAGTCTGTTCTCTTTATGTTTAAAAAATATATATATACAATCACAACTGAACCTGAGTTGCCAGACCCTAAACCAGTTTGTCTCATTCTCAGTTTATGGACAGGCCTCATGTGAAAGCTCAGAAGCTCCATAATTCCCTCTCTGAGCTGCAGAGTCATGACTGGATGCAGGTGCTGGGGTTTAGAGGCATTTTAGGTTTAAACCAACTGGATTTCAGCATTGGAACTGACAACCCAAATGAGAGAGTCACGTGAGGCTCATTCTGCTTTCTGATTGGATGATTGACATTTCAGCTTTGGAGTTGCCCATCTCTTCTGAACTAAAGGTAAAATGTAGCTGTTACCTTGAAAATTACCAATACATGACATCACACGGTGGAACAGAACATTTAGAGCTTTGGAAATGTAGACGGCCATGTGTGAATAAAACAAAACACAACTCTGGGTATGTTTTTGCGAAACATCTAAACATGGCTTAAAGATCACAAGAATCCATTTTTGTAATAAAGGACCTTTAATCAAATAATTTTAGCAAACATAGATCCTCCCTTTAGTGTTTTCATGTGACCTGCTGTACATAATGCTGTCTGTGAATGGACTCTGTAAGAGGAGAAAATTGAGCCTGAAATGACTGTTTAATACGACTAATAAAAAATATTTATTACAATTGGATTAATACTATTGTCCCATTGTTTTTTGCATTGTTTTCCAATTAAAAGTTTATGCTTTTATGATTATGATGAGCTAATGTGAATATTTTAAAAGAGACATTTGATCAAATTAATGCGAAGCCAGTTTAAATTAGCTGTACCTGATTTTTACTCTCTTAAAAACATGAAAAACATACTAGTTCATTTTAAAGGTGCAATGTAATTTTTCGGGTGGAGGGTCCGTCAAATGTTTTTCTCTATTGAGATTGCTCTCTCTATTCTCTATTGGTTTGTCTGTTTCTCAGTATGGTATTAAATCTATCTTCATGGAGACCAAACCAGACCAAGTTACAGTCCCAGTCAGATCTGTGGAGAGGTGACCCCTCTCACAGTCAGAATGCCTGTTTTTCTGAAGGGAGGAGCTAACTACTCTGAAACTAACACCCTTCTTGTTCGCAGTTTCTGGTTGTTAGCCTATTCACCTGTACAGAGTGAGAGATCATATTAGCAGAAGATTTCAGGCCCATGATGCATGTTTTCACACCTCTGGCCCTGACCTGACCCTATCCTTCTCTTTGTTTTAGGTTTGAGGATGGAGTTGTAGATGGGAGATAGATGGTGTCTGAGTCCTGACCATTTTTGGTTATGCTAATATGTCCCCTCTCTCAGATATCTATATAACTACTAATCTGCAGTATGTCCATTGACTGAAAACTGCACTGCCGTATGTATAACCGCGGTAACAGGCAGGATGTGGCTTGCGTGAAGGAAGTCGGGCTCTGATGCAGCTGCAGACGGTTTCCTGACAAGTGTCAAAATCTGACCCAAAAAAGGAAGGATTTACCTCATCATTTTACAACCCTGCACCCGAATGATGACAGCAAAAAGGATGGGTGCAGTCTCAGTTGCACCATAAACTTACAGTGGCCCGGATCTCAAAATAGGAAATAATGATCAAGTAGAAGTACAAGGTTGGGGATTCAAGATACTACTCAATACTATCTCACTGCCTCTCCAGAGTTTACCTGCTCCTCAGCCTTCATTGCTTCCCTCCCATGACTCCTCCCCACTGCTCAGGGCTCCTCCTGTCCAATCAGCGCCCAGAGTTGCCAATTTAAACCCCCATTGCATGCACTCCCGTTTGTGCCGTGCATTCGTAATTTGTAGCATAGCGATTTCACATCTGATGGCTCCTCTTGTGCATACAGTTCGAGCCCGTGCTTCAGTCAGTGCAGCTGAGCCGGTTCACTGCCTTTCTCCTGATTCCTCTCATCAACCCCCCTCCATCTGTCGTACATCTTGTACCATCTCCTACTCCCTCGGTCTCCGCCCAGGCTACAGCTTTCGCTTCCCAGCTCCTTCCTCTGTCCATCGACGTGGTTGCTCCTCCGGGTCCCACCGCCTTGTAGAACCAGGATCCTCTCCACCGTAGAGGCCTGTACACTACATCCAGCTCTCCTCTCCTCCTGGCTTACGGTTTCTACAGTATGAGAATTCACTTCTTGCTCCACTTAGTTCACTCCACTCCTCAATTTAGCTCCTCATACTGATGGTCCATTCTGTCCAGTCCATGCATGACTGTATTGGCCATAATTTGATCCAAGCAATGGTTCTAATCACCTGTACTCCTGAGGCCAGTCCGTGGGAATGTGACTATTCCTCCATCTCGCCACTCACGCTTACTGCATGATAGTAATTCCAACATCAGATTCTGGAGGTGGTCTTGTTAGCCTTAACTACTTTTCAGGCAATCGCTGCCGCTCTCTCCTCTTTGCATTTCAGGTCACCACATCCCTCATTTCGGCGTCTTCGGCACCTATTTGAGATCACTGATAGTCATAACTTCCGGCATTCATTGTCGATCATAGATTGTGTGAAGAAGTGCCAAAGATCTTCATTTTGTCTTATGTACACTACCGTACAAAAGTTTGAGGTCACCCAGACAATTTTGTGTTTTCCATGAAAAGCCACACTTATTTACCACCTTGAGTTGTAAAATGAATAGAAAATATAGTTAAGACATTGACAAGGTTAGAAATAATGATTTATATTTATTTATATATTTTTATTTGTATTTATATATTTTTTTTCCTTCAAACTTTGCTTTTGTCAAAGAATCCTCCATTTGCCAGCAATTACAGCATTGCAGACCTTTGGCATTCTAGCTGTTGAGGTAATCTGGAGAAATTTCACCCCACGCTTCTAGAAGCCCCTTCCACAAATTGGATTGGCTGGATGGGCACTTCTTACGGCCAAGCTGCTCTCACAACAGCTCAATGGGGTTTAGATCTGGAGACTGCGCTGGCCACTCTATTACAGATAGAATACAAGCTGCCTGCTTCTTCTCTGAATAGTTCTTGCACAATTTGGAGGTGGACTTTGGGTCATTGTCCTGTTTTAGGATGAAATTGGCTCCAATCAAACACTGTCCACAGGGTTTGGCATGGTGTTGCAAAATGGAGTGATACCCTTCCTTATTCCAAACCCTTATTACCCTGATCAAGTCTCCCACGTTACCAGAACCAAAGCAACCCCAGACCATCACATTACCCCCACCATGTTTGACAGATGGAGTCAGACACTCTTCCAGCATCTTTTCAGTTGTTCTGTGTCTCACAAATGTTCTTATGTGTGATCCAAACACCTCAAACTTTGATTAGTCCGTCCATAACATTTAATTCCAATCTCTCTGTCCAATGTCTGTGTTCTTTTACCCATATTAATCTTTTTTTTTTATTGGCCAGTCTCAGATGTGGCTTTTTCTTTGCCACTCTGCCTTGAAGCCCAGCATCCCGGAGCCGCCTCTTCACTGTAGATGTTGACACTGGCATTTTGCGGGTACTATTTAATGAAGCTGCCAGTTGAGGACCTGTGAGGCATCTATTTTTAACTACAAACTCTAATGTACTTATCTTCAGGCTCAGTTGTTTGGCGGGGCCTCCCACTTCTCTTTCTACTTTGGTTAGAGCCTGTTTGTGCTGTTCTCTGAAGGGAGTAGTACAAAAAGTTATAAGAAATCTTCAGTTTCTTGGCAATTTCTCGCATGGAATAGCCTTCATTTCTGAGAACAAGAATAGACTGTCGAGTTTCACATGAAAGTTTTCTTTTTCTGGCCATTTTGAGCGTTTAATTGACCCCACAAATGTGATGCTCCAGATACTTAACCTGCTCAAAGGAAGGTCAGTTTTATAGCTTCTCTAACCAGCTAAACTGTTTTCACCTGTGTTAACATGACTGCACAAGGGTTTTCTAATCATCCTTTAGCCTTCTGACACAATGAGCAAACACATTGTACCATTAAAACACTGGAGTGACAGTTGCTGGAAATGGACCTCTATACAACTATGTAGATATTGCACCAAAAACCAGACATTTGCAGCTAGAATAGTCATTTACCACATTAGCAATGTATAGAGTGTATTTCTGATTAGTTTAAAGTTATGTTCATTGAAAAAAACAGTGCTTTTCTATCAAAAAATAAGGACATTTCTAAGTGACCCCAAACTTTTGAACGGCAGTGTACTTTAACTTCTTGGGGTTAATGTATGAAGAATTGGACTAAGGGAGTATGATGTCACCCATAGCATTCAGCTCCTGTCAAATAAAGCTGGCGATGCTAGTGGTTATAGGGGCGAAATTGGAGACCCCAGGACCATGTAGGGCGGGTTAATACAAACATTTCAAGACCAAAATAACGAGGCTCACAGCAGCAGTTACAGAGACAATCCAGTCAATCGATGGAGCAGAAAACTCCCACATGTTCACATTCGAGCGCGACGGCAAACAGCAAGCATGTCCATTATATCAGTCTGAGCTGCCGACTCATTCATGTTCATCCATCAGCTGTCAACGGCAACTGTTCATTCTCTGAGCCATTTATATTCAAGCCGCCGCTCATTTGGTCAGCTCCCTCAGATCAGTTTTCAGTCCAGCAGCACCTAATGGCTCAGACCCAACACCTCCTCCTCCTAAACGTCACAGTGTCTTCTTACGGGGCCTGAGCACCAAAGAGGCTCATTCAATAAAACTACTAATGCTTTCTTTTTGTGTATGTCCAAGTCTGCCCAGGATGAATTGAAGTGAATGTCATTCGAAGGACAAAACATTAAATGACGCACAAAATCTGGTATTTTCAAAAGACACATACAAGAATGATACAAAAGAAGTCATCTCTGAAGGAGCGCCGCAAGAACCACAAATATTTCAACATTAAGTCAATGGGAGTCACAGTCAGAAGGAGCCGGACGCACCTCGAACTTCCTATTTGGAGTGCGAGTGTCTATTTATATATACAGTCTATGAGTAGTACCCATATGACGTCTGATAATAATAATGTAACTGTTTCTTTTTAATGTTTTTTGCATTGCTTTGCCAAATTACCAAGCAAGTACTGAACCAGAATTAAACTACAACTAACCACAACTAATCCAGAATTAAACCAGGTCTATACCAGGACTTTTAAGTATTTTGAAGATGGGCTACTGGCCGGATCAGACCGTTTAGAGGCCTTTGTTTGGTCCGCGGGTCACCAGTTGATTACATGTGTTTAGTGGCCTCGTCTCAATTCTTTTTCCTCGCTTCCTTCACCTTGATTCCTCTCTTTTGATCCTACATTTTTCAGCTGTCAATCAAATGTGTCATATTACATGTTGTCCCAAAGGAATTCATGGAAGGAAGAAGTAAACCCGAGGGAGGCTTCAGGATAAAAGAATCAGACTTTCCTGGTCTCAGTGAGGAGTTTATATCCTCTCTCCTTGCTGTGTCTCGTGTGGTTGGGACTTCCTTGTCCATTTCCTGCAGAATCGAGGAGACAAGGAAAGAGAATTGAGAAGCAGCCAGCGTGTCTCAAGTGCCTATGGCCCAGTGACCTCATGTCTGAGGCTAAGCAGCTATTTTAGAATGAGCTGAGTAATCCTTTTTATTTAGATGACTGAAAACCGCAAGCACTTTTGGACTATAGATAGATCTTGTCTTCAGCAAAGAGTTGGGAAGAGCACAGGAAAAATTTAAAGGTGCACTGTG